GTTATCGTCGCACGTAAACGTGATGAGCTGATCTGGTAACCGTGGCACCTTGGCCTTGATCTTGTGGGCGTTGCTTTTGGTCAGCTGTTTCTCGCTGGCGGCGGGGACCAGGATGTCGCAGTCGGCCTCGAGGATGCTTCCTTCGTATGGCGTCGCGTCAGGGAAACCCACGATGGTCCCGTTGGCCTGGAAACGACAAACCGTTCAAACTGATGAAGACAGCAGCTGCTTCACACGAAACAAACCAGCTGTGTGAGAAAATGACACAATAAAACTGGACTGTTTACACTGCAGTGACACAGTGCTGCCAGCAGGTGGCACACTGCTCCTGTTTCTGTGAACCCACCAGTTTGTAGTCCTCCAGCTCTTTGGGGTTGATGCCGTCGGGGTTCCAGATGCTTCCGTCCAATTCTCCGACTCCGACGCACCTCGCTCCGAAGCGGTGAAGGTAGCGCATGGAGTGAAGCCCCACGTTACCGAAGCCCTGCAGGCGGAGCAGAGGGCGCATTAACCAGGCGTCTGCCTCACGGTCACAAATCACACAGCGTTCTCCTGAATAGGAAACTGCACATTTTTATGTCGAGTTACTAGAAGCCGGGTCAGCCATTAGGTGGACAGACACAGCACTGGTTTATACTGGGCACCAGCACTGGTTTAGAGTGGGCACCAGCACTGGTTTAGAGTGGGCACCAGCACTGGTTTATACTGGGCACCAGCACTGTATGTGTAGAAAAAAATAACTCAGATTGTGTGACAGTGGCTGCATTACTGTGGCGAGGACACTCATCCATCTCTGTCCAAGTCATTGAGGGAAATGTTCCAGTGTGTTCAACCAAAGTCAGAGCCAGAAGATAAAAACAGGAAACACGCTCACAAAACTTCAGGAAAAAGCTGATAGCTTCAGTTTGCCCTCTGACCTCACGTGGTCCTGAGGCAGTGACGTAGAGGAGCGCCACCTTCAGGGGTAAACCCGGAGGTGCGTCTGTAATCTGACTGAAGTCCTCGGCGGTTGTTCTGTGACTTTTGTGGCGGAGTTTTTGCAGCAGCAGATCCTGTGTTCACGACGTCGCTGCATCTGCTCAGGTCTGTTTTCAGTCAGCGTTGTCTCCTCGTGGTCCTTCTGCGTCTCAGTCGCTGGATGATTTACCCAAACACCATCAGCACAGAGTCTGGGCGGAGCCTCCTCCCTGCTCTCCACCAACACTTGTGCTGAACGCCATGAAGGGCATCCTGAGGTTTCTTTGTTGCGGTCGCCTGTTGATTAAATGAAAACATGCGGCTGGACATGAGTCAGCTGAGGAGGGAAGGATGGAAGAAGTGACGAGGAGGAAGTTTCTCTCATTTGTTGTTCATAAACGGATCCAGACGGAGCCGTCTGCTCTCATACTGTAAATAAAAGATGGACACGGACAGCGTCTGAGGTGAAGATGCTGCAGTGTGATGTAAATCATCCACAGCCGAGTCAGTGTGGTCAGAGCAGGCAGCCACATGCACATCTGCACGTTGCCTCATGTTCGCCGTCTGATGATGAGAG